ATAGTCGTGGCACGTAAGGTGTCCAAACTTTCTGCGAAGTGCCCGGTCTTCCCGCTCCTTTTCGAAGCAGAAGATTACCAGTCTCTTGAAATTGCTTCAACCAGCGTCAGATAGCATTATACCATATTGAGTTCTGTAACAACGTTGCGTTTTGATAATGGACTTCGCTTCGATAAACCAAGTACGCACATTGCATTCTCTTGAACAGTCGCCATTTTGAGTTATGACGTGATATTTTCTTTCAGAAATCAAAGCGGCGAGTACAGCGTTGCCAAACTAAACTTTTTGAGTTACATTTTCTTATTCCGTAAGCGGTTTTATATCTTACGCGGTAACTGCCTTCTAAAATAAGTTACTGAAGGAAAGATAAAAGGGCGGATAGAAGTGACCAGAAGACGAGGAAGAGACGTAAGAAGATGCTGGATGACCTTGGGGACAGAAGAGGATATTTTCATTTGAAAAAGAAAGCTCTAGATCGCATCAAGTGGAGGAACTGTTTTGGAACAGACTATGGACCTGTCGTCTTGACAGATTACTGATGAATGAATGAATAGGGTTTTGGTGTGAAAACCAGAAGGAAAGAGTCCACCAGTAAGACATATACGAGAGGTCAGGATAGGGACCAGCAGAGGGTTCTTGAGAACACGGAATCGTTCCGGATTAAATGTAACCGGATTAGCGAGGGTTTATTATATTATCCTGTCACTTTTCTGGAAAGAATGAGTGAAGCAAAGAGAAACTTCAGTCTTGATAGTCGTTGTTCCGGTTGAATATGGAACCGAGAACCTTACAAATGCAAGTCCATAGCACAAACACTACACCAACCTGCTTGGCAACAAATGTATTTTTGTGGAAAGACGTCACATTCATCAAAAATGCTTATTTAGTAAAGGCCCTTGTAAGCACATTAGATCACTGTGGTCGCGGTGCAGGGCCAAGAAGGCCCACCCCTTATACATTCATTGAAAGGCCCTTGCATCCTGTATGTTATAGTATTTCAATATTCGATGTTATGATAGGATTGTGAGGAGGCGGAGAGGTGCCTCTAGTACACTTACGCTATGAGAGTGGTGGGAAAATATTGGCATTTTCATTACTGTGACTCCTTTACAATATCAACTAACGTCATGTCAAACATACAAGAACACCGCTGTCTGATTTCTACACGTTAACAATTCCACATTAGTGATGAGTGGAGTCATAAACAAATGACAATACTAGTACGATATAGCTCACTCCAGTGACAGGTAATCAATACCGACGCGACATGATGTGTCACACAAATACTGGCATAACAGTCGTTTAGCTGAACATGCCAAATACACATTTATTCGATCATTAACAAGAGGTTCCGACCAAAACTCACAAAGCCTACATGCCCACGGCACACTAAATCAAGCATTAACAAGATCTCGGCAGAACTCACAAAGCCTACATGCCTACGACACACTTATTCAAGCATTAACAAGAAGCTCTGAGCAAAACTGCATAATACTATGGATCATCTAGTGGAGAGCCACGCACCACGGTTTGATAAACACTTACAAGAGCAAAATATGAAGACAGTTCGAAATTTCTCCGCTAGGTGGCTACCATGACACAGAGGACAATCAGCGCCATCAGCCATGATCGAGTATTACTATTTGCATTCCACGCACACTGCAACTTTCCGCAAAATCGTTCAGGATTTCTGTGCTGTGTGGATTTGTACGGGGCAGGTGTAGGAAAACGCTAGGGAAACAAATTCTCTAAAGTTATTCATCTGTCAGTCGTGGTGCTGCATACTTTAACGTGCCCCCCCCCCCCCAAAGAGGCGATTGTATTTGGCTTAATTTTTGGATTTAGCACTAAAACTTGTCTAAATGTTGTTCATTAACTTTCTACATAAGAAACAGATCAGACTGGATGTTTTAACTTTGGGATTTCGCAAAAATGAAACGATGCAACACAAAATCCTGCCCAGTCGACGTCGTTTGCTTTCATAATATAACAGACTGCATGTTTTACTTTGGAGGGGATATAAAATGGGGTGCTTGTACCGGTTCTCACGGTCGCTTCGCTTGCAGATTTCTTATTTTTCCTTCTACCCTGAAGATGGAGGCGATACGTTCCTCCGAAACGTCGGTTGACACCACATCTACACGGTGCCACATCCCAGAAGACTGCTTTCTTCATGATAAAGTTTCATTTTCAAATTACATCCATTTGTTAAATTATGTGACATGTTGAATCAAACTGTATATCCTCAGTGTGAGGTACAAAATACTGTGCAACTTCGCTTAGAATAAAATATTAAATTTTAAGCGGTTTACTGAATTAAAATCTTAAATTAATTAAATATGAGGCAATGAGGAAGAGAAAATATTGCCATTTTATATTCAAAACTCTACAGTTTCCATTTCCATTATGACTGTCCCCAGATACAGCTCTGTGTACAGTAACTTGACCTAAAAGGGAATCCACAGCTTTCATTTACATTCAAATGGTCATGCATGGTTTCTTCTTCGCTGTATAACGCAGGACTATGAGAACCAGAATACATCTTACAGTGAAACCTAGAAAGGTACACTTTATTTAAGAAACGTATTAATGATTTACATTTTATTTCATGAAGTTCCGCAGAAGAAAAGTAATGCCATATTATTCAAATGAAGAAGAGCTGCCTGAACATATTAATTTTGATTTCTCTATATTCAAATAGTTTATTAATAAAAGTATAGTTTATGGAAGTCCACTTAAAAGCAAGTTCATTTAAAAAATCTGAAACTTACACCATCTTAAAAGATAATTTATCAGTACATATTTTAAAATCCATCATGTTTTGTTATCAGCTAGAAGTTATTAAAAATAAAAGTAAAGGTATCCCTGTAACAGGCCGTGAAGGCCCATAAGGTTGTGAGACGTTGAGGTACCCACATTTTCTAGACAATCGGCTCAAAGATGGCGGTAAAAATATAAAAAAATATAACTTCCACCTACCCTCATCAACTTTATCAGTATATCAAAAAGGAGTCTACTTTACTGGCATAAAAGTGTTCAACAATCTGCCACAAAGTATTAAAAACTTGGGCAATGATACTAAAAAGTTTAAATCAGAGTTAAAGAATTATCTACATGCTCATTCCTTCTACTCTTTAGATGAATACTTCAATGTAAATAGAGAATGATGTAAAATTAAGTTATATTAATTTTTAAGCTAAAATTGCCTGTACTTATGTATGTAACCTTTTGACTTGTTCTGTATCCAAAGGTACTAACCTATTTAGGATTATAGAATGTAAATAAATTCAATTCAATTCAATTCAATAAAGGTTGTCAGCCTTACCCGCCAGCCGCGCTTTACTCCCGAGGAAAAGTATTTAATTAATTCCTGGTACTCATTTCAGTTAGAAGCTGAGTCGACCCCAGGACCAGAGTGCGGCTGGAAGGATTAGGTCAATTGAAAAAAAAATCCAGTGACCTCATCGTGACTTTCTAACAGACCAAGGGTTGGACCGTTATATACGGTCGAAAATAGGCTACATTTTGTCAAAAGGTGTTGGGGTGGCATAGGATTGTTTAGTGTAATGAACGGGCCTTGGCATAATTTTACAGGCCCTCAACATTTATTAAAAATAGCTTACTTCCTGTATTTCAGTATACATTTCATGGGCATGACTCTTCGACTTACCCTGCGTACTGAGACGTATGACATGCAAGAAATCTACTATACCACAGTTTAATGAGTAACTGAGAGCTATGTCCCATGTATACAATAATAGACTCACCATTTTTGTTTCTTCGTTCAGTCTTCATATCTCTTCTTTACAGGATCCAACATTTGCCACGAATCCTCTTCTCTCCATATGGAAGACATCTCTCGATTACGGTATGTTTTTAAGTATCATAACAAACCGACGTTTAACTTCACACAAATGTTTTGCAAAATTATGAAACAACAACAAAACAACTGAATGAACTGGCATTAAAACCTAAGAAAGTGTGAGTTGTATTGTTTTCTAGTGTCATTAGTTGGGACCCATCTAACACACTGTAAACAATAACACAATTAGAATGAAACCAAGTAAATACTATTTAGCAGAACATAACCTAACACAGTTTCTGGAAGGCATGTATTTCTAGCTGGAAATTATTTTATTCATGGACTTTATCACTTACCCTGAACGTCTTCATTATTGGCAATGATTGCCATTTTCTTTTATATCTGACAAAATACACGCCCTTAAATCGGTGTGAAAATATACGTGTATAACTACCCCAACAGGTTGCCATACTATTTCCTACTTTTAGTAAAACGGCCGTAAGTGTAAAAACTATGAATTCCATATACCTGGTGGCCTTCAATTCCAGATATTTTAAATCCGCAACAAAATTCAACGACGAAATCCATTGAAAATAACGTTAATCAAACAAATTACACTACAATCACAACTATCAACACAGCTCGATAACGTTCAACCTTTATCCGACAGAGACCACTACACGTGCGTTGTTTATGATCAATAAACAGCATAGGACAGTTGAAAACCGCAACAGGGCTGGCAACATCGTAACATTCTGCTAATGTTGTGACATGGATAATGAAAGCTAAAAACAATAATGGGAAATAATGTACTTCCATGTCATAATGTAAAACACGTATGATGGCATTCTTAATAACACCCTACTTTTCATATTAGAAGAGCGTTGTTTTGTCTGCTATTTCATATAGGGCTTCATGTATTTATATTTTTGTTTTGTAGCTACACACCCGTCTGCAGCCGGCTGGGTTAGTTTTAGTGATGCGTGTTCTGTTTCGTACTTAATTTGCCATGTTTTGAAATGGATTTGATTTGAATGAGGTCAATTTCCTGATTTATGCTATAAGTTGGCTTGACGCGGGGGGAGAGTTGAAAGCAGAAGCTGATTCTTCGCTGTTGGTGTGGTTGTGTGCTGCGTCTTACTGATCCGTGGTAGGTATATTATCTATGTCCGTGATGTCTCCAACGGTAGTCCCTATGTCGAGTTGGTGGAAGTTTGTTGTTGGTAGCGCGTGAGTGTGTCTGACCGACACGGCGAAAGGTCCGTGTTCGAATTGTAAATTAGTACGTATGGTGTGAGAGAGTGAATTGCACTATGAGTAGGTTATTTATTTTGTTGCAGTTGATTTTCGTACCTTTGTCTGCAAGAGGCTGGGGTGAGTATTCTGGAAATTAAAAACTTATTTTTAAGCCGTTATATTTACGCGGGCTTTCTTGGGACTCGTCGTCTGCTTCGAGGCCGTAAGTATGCCAGTATTCTGCCATCGAGCTTTCGGTGCTAGTCACGTAGGCCCTAACCGAAAGGTTTATGTTAACGACATAAGAATGACTATGTGCGAAGGTTTTTGCCTGAATCCCCTTCCCAGCGCATTCTTGTGTATGTTTACAATATGTAGCATGAATTAATGAAGTTAGAATGTTTATTTCCGCTGTCATTACAATTATGTAGCATTGTATTTATTAACGTAAATATTAATATCGCCACATTCGATTAATACTGTATCTTCGTGTTAAAGTTGCAGTTGTATGAGGTAAATCAGGAAATGTAAAGCTTGTAGGGCATGCTAATTATAATAAAGATTTCGGAAGTTACAAATGAAAGCATTGTGCTAAAAATTACACGTTTCATTTGCATATTATACCAGTATTTATTAGCAGTATACTACTAACAGAACGTTTTATTTAACATTCAAATGTGGCCCCAGTTTCGTTGATCTTTTAGATGTTATAAAGCCCTTACTGCGCCATATGCCGGCCTGCGTTGTTTAGGTTAGCACAAATTGTACTCAGGTACACGTGCTTGTGGTTTAGTCATACCCATTCATTGGCTGTACATTATTACGAAAGGGCACATACAGAATCAAGCGTGGCACCTTTGGGGTCATGCTGTTTCAGAAACTGGATGTTTCCGTCATCACGTTTACGGAAGGAAAGGTGTGTGCCATGTATTTCATTGGGCTCACTAGAAAGAGGTTTATTTCAATCACTGGACGTCTGCCAAGTTGTGTGGTGTACACACACCCAGCATTTCTCTTGTGTTCAATTTTATTTACCTATTTTGAAAGCCCCAGAATATTGGGTATTACGGACAAAATACTTTTCACATAATTCATTACAACATATGTTACAGGGATTTTTGAGTTCCATACATGTATGCAGCTAGTTATGCCCGAGATGTGGACAGAAACGCATAGTAGATCGTTATGTAAAATTCCTGTTGATGGTTTGGAACGTATGTTTTCACGTAAAATTCCGCTTCTTTTGCCCAATTTCAGTCAAAATCCGAATTCCTGTACCGATATAGACTTCCAGATGTGTTAATTTTCACGGAAATCTTTCCAGTTTTTATCGAGTTGTTTCAAAGGGACATATATGACGGGAACTAAGAGCCGCATTTTTGTTGACTAATCGTGAATGATCGTTATTTTAAATGTTGTTAGAACGTGAACGTTTCGTAAACATAGGTTATAATATGGATGTTTTTTTACACCGAACATTCCGGTGAAATTATTACGAGTTCTGCTTGTTATGCTGTTTCACGTCACCTGGTCATATCAGTGAAATATCAAGGAACAACAAAACTATACAGGGAAGTTCTTGATAGACTCAATGCAAAATTAGAATGCTTGTCGCAGCCGGCGGTGCACCGATCGCCTTGAAGCGCAGCTCCTTGAACATGTCAACAAAGTTAAAAAATAAAAAACTCAGTACTTGGCAGAGAGTATAATGAAGCTCCTCATTATGCAGTTTTCTCCAGTCTCTGTCGCTTCATCCTTCTTCGGTCCAAATATTCACCTCAACACCCTGTTCTCAAACACCCTCCTTTTATGTTCCTTAATGTCAGAGACCAAGTTTCACACCCATACAGAACCACAGGCAAAATTACAGTTTTCTATATTCTTATTTTTATGTTTATAGACAGCAGATGAGAAGACAAAAAGTTCTGGACTGAATGGTAGCAAGGATTACTCCAATTCAGTCCCCTCTTAATTTCCTCCTGAATAAAATATTGATTTGTTAACTGTTGTTTTCAAATATTTTAACTCTGCCACATTTTCAAAACATTTGTTAGCTAACTTTATATCATGAATTTCTGGTGACGAGAGAGCAACATATACTTCTTATTCTCTGTCTACTTCTAGGCCAACCTCCTTGCTAGTACCAGTGTTTTTCTTTATGGCAGCCATGTTATCACCCACTACATTCACATCATCAGCGTAGACCAGCAGCTGATGTGTCCCGTTTAATTTCAGTTCCACCTGATTTTCCCCGCATCGTCCTAGTGCCATATTCGAAAACAAAGTTGAAAAGCAGTGGCGATAAAGCATATCCCTGGCTTAGATCATTTTTATGGGCTCGCTGTTTTAGACCATTTTTGACAGGAAACTTATCAGGCAAATGTTCGCGTATACGGACTTCACTATAGGGTTATTTAAACACATTTTATTGAGCCTAACTAGAGTCATGGACACCACCAAACACTATGAGAATATTGTACAAGGAGGATGAGATGGGCAGGGCATGTAGCACCATTGGGGAGAAGAGGAATTTATGTAGGATTTTTGTGGGAAAGCCAGAAGGAAAGAGACCACAAGGAGGACAAAGACGTAGGTGGGTGAATAATACGTATTACAGTGGTTCTTAGAGAGATAGGATTGGGTGGTATGGGTTGGATTGATCTGGCTCAGGACAGGGACCACTAGAGGGTTCATGTGAACACTCTAATTAACCTTTGGGTTGTATAAAATGTTGGAAAATTATTGAGTAACTGCACAACTGGCGGCTTCTCAAGAAGGGCTTATCTCCATATATGGCGTTCGGAATAGGGTGGGAGCCCCACATTCATGACTGGCCTGAGGTTAGTTTCACCTTTCTGATGCCCTGGATAGGAGAATGAAATTAATGTGAATCATCCGGCGAGGAGTTGTGAAGATTAACGACATATGGATTTGCTCAGCGGTGGGCCTTGGTGTTGCTGTTCAGTTTCCGTGTTCTGCTGCTGTAGTTTTTGTTTGTTGATCGGTCAAGTGATTTGCTGTTGCAGGGACACCGTATATTTAGAAGTACAGCCGTTTTCGGGTGAATGTTAGCGAATATGACAAGTGGCTGGGTCTCAGGATTATGTATAAAGTAGTTCTGTTGCGTGGCCAGAAAGAAAATGGTAAAAATATACGGCGCTAGGGACTTGGAATACGATTTTTCTTTGTGTAAAAGTATTTGTTCATTACAAAGAGAAGTATGTTCCGTTTTACATTCTTATTACCCGCTCTCTGAAAATGTACAAAGACGTTGCTGCGGAATGACCGCCAAACTACATATTTAAATCTGTTACGATTACTATCGTTGGAAGGAACCGGATACCTCGTGTTACTGCAACAAAGAAATGAAAAGTTGTGACATCTGTCAGCCGCCGACATATGGGAGAGAGAAAAAACGAGGGACCCTGTTCAGCGACGATTCCGATAACGAGAGACGATTGAATTATAAATCAGAATGCCTATATGTAACATTGGCCGGTCACAGTGGCCGCGCGGACTAAGGCATGAACTGTCTTCGCTCGCTCGAACGCTGGGATCGTAGGTTCGAATCCCACTCAAGGCATGAACGTCTGTGTGCGTTCTGTGAGTAGGTAGCGGCCTTGGGATTGGCCGATCCCCCGTCCAGGGTGTCCTACCGACTGTGTAAAAAGATGAAGAAACTGGAAGAGTGGCCAGTGTCCAACAAAAGGACTCTTAGAGCCATAGATAGATAGACACGTAACATTGCTCATCACAGTGGCCGCGCGATCTCAAGCATGAACTGTCTTCGCCCGCTCGAATGCTGGGATCTTGGGTTCGAATCTCACTCAAGGCATGGATATGTGTGTTCGTTGTTCTGTGTATACGTAGAAGCCTTGCGACGGGCTGATTTCCCGTCCAAGTAGTCGTATCCACTGTGTATAGGCTCAGGAAACTGAAAAAGCAGCCAAGGTACAACAAAACTACTACTACTACTACTACTACTACTACTACTACTACTAATAATAATAATAATAATAATAATAATAATAATAATAAAGACAAAGCTGTCCCTGTGCTCAACGAATTAAGCACTACGCCATGAAGGCGTATGGGGGATGATGATGATAATAAAATTTAACTTTGAAAATGTAACGCGTTGGGGCAGTTTATTCCGTTGCGATGCGGGAGAGCTTGCTACAAGGGAGTTACATTCAGACTCTGTGATCCACCAGGTCGTGATGATTATACAGCGAGACCCACGTTTCACATAAAGTTTTCCCTGCGCGTAATTACTAAAGCACTATGCCATGAAGACCTATTGGGGAGTGGAGTTACAGCTTTACCATTCTTGAGTTTGGCACTAGTTGGAGGTAAGTGGTCAGCTTCATGCCTCTGTCGCTTTAACCCCCGCACCCATTGGTTCTTAGTGGACCCCAGAACCAGTCTTGACGCTTTGGAGAAGAGATAAGTCTTGCCCTTGCCGGAAATCAAACCCCGGATATCCAGCCCGTCGCTATATCTTTGGGAACTGTCTTGTTGATTCATTTCGACGAATTAGTAATGTAATTTATTTCTTTCATTTGTCTCTGTATGTTTATCAGATGAAATGGATTTTTAGTTTAAATTTGTGTAACCTAACGGTATTGGTATCGTAAACTGTTTTGCGTGGTTTCGTTATGCTGCGCCCTATTTAAAATGTTATGCTGTGAAATGAAATTGAGAGGAAAGGTCTGTATACGTGGTAGATGATTTCATGCTGTTCTGTTGTCGCAGAGAGTTATGCCGAAACCTGTACTTGTGAAGAAGCTCGGTTCAAGCGAACAAGTGGATGAATTAAATATTTATTTGTGGACCAGTTGTTAGTAATGGCTGCCCCATTTAGGCAACTGGACAGTGTCTTTCAAATACAACGACTTCTAAATACCCGCAGTATTCTTTTATTCAGTTTATCACTTCTGCTCATCGCATAGAAAACTACCGAAAATAATGTACGGAGAGTCACGAGAAATGTGTTTCATGCAGTTGACATTTTGGGGTATCGATTTTATCGTAGAGCAAGGATCGTATGGTTTTTTTGCTGTATGTATCTTTTCACTGTCTCTACCCGTTCGATTTCCAATGAGTTAATTGGATTTTTCAATTGACCTGATCCTTTC